AATGTGACCTGAAACCTGTGAAGCCTCAACTTAGCGTGCTTCATTAGCAGAGTTGTTGTTCCAGTAAAGTTACTCTTACTTTGTTGTTGTATGAAAGTGATCTCAAGTCTACACCCTACAACAGACATATCAATCATCTCTCTGAGGCACACACTTGGCTGTTCATCAGCTTACAACATTATCTTACACCCTCAAAGTCAGGAAGCCAATCTCTACAGGACTGATTTTAGCCAATGCAATTCTATCAAAAACTATTACATCAAGAGTTAACTTTTTTTAATCAAAACAAACTTATAAAACAAAACAGTATTACTAAATGCGTTTAGCCTTTAATTTTTTCACTTGGCTCTCCCTCTAAGTCAGATAATAAGTCCAACTGAGAGCAAAATCAAGATGATCACTATTCACTAATAGTAATAATCAGTATTTGTCAATTTCTGTTTTCTTTTCATGGAATGAAAGATGAGTATTCACTCAAAATGTTTAAGTAGAGATCAAGATGATATATACACCACAGCATGCTGTATTAAGGCTTTGAAAAGGGGTGAAAATCACTTTGATAGTTATATACAACCTTTAAGCTTGGATAGAGAAAAAATTTGGTTCTGGATATGGGTTTAGTTCTGGAACAAATGCTGTCCCAAAATCTAATGCTTAATCCTTATGTTACCTAATGTGAAGAGCATTTGACAATGTAAACCAGTAAATAATGACAACTTTCCAACATTTAAAGTCCTCAAACTACTCAATATCCAAGATTAAATCTACTTGAGACTCAAATTATTAATATATGAAATAAAATTCTGAGAGACCTTCTTGTGAACCCCTTCTTTGAAGAGATTAGATTGATACATCAAATGAATCTAAAATAGTTTTTGAATAAACATATCGACACAATCAACAGAAATAAATAATAACAAAATGTAAAGGCATCTTTTAATAAGTGCTTTGAATCATAATATAAGAGGCGCCTCGATGTCTGCTTCACATAATTCCTGACTCTACTGTATTCAAGCCAGATTGTGTTCCTTCCATTAAGCAAACCTCAATCAACTTCTAAACTTCAGAAAATCTTGAGATTTATGAATGAACGGCTAAATAAACCTAAATAATATATTAATTCTCTATCGCTTCATAAATAACTTGTCATATTAGATCTCCATTTGATCAATAAATGATAGCCAATTATTCTAATAGCATGATTAAAGTCTAATAAAGTTTGATTAAAAATGTGCCTTCTGATGATAAAAGGATAGTGGTTAGACAAAAATACTCTTGTTAACAATTTTTGTTTTTTTCATAATTTGTAAAAAAACAAAAATGGCTATTTCACATAGAGAGAAAACTGAAACTTATAAGACATAACTTTCCTTCTTCCTTAAACATGGTGCATTGCTACATTCATTAATGCTAAATAAATCTTGAAAGGTGAAATTGAATATTTTCTCAAGGGTGATATAGAACTACTTGAGATAAAATTACACCCACAATCATGGTCCATGATCCCCCTGTTCAACCTTACAATAGCATAAAACACCCACCCATTCCACTTCACATGGCACTTGAATACAATTGTGGCTGAAAATGAACAATAGTACACATTTTGGACAATACATATTGCCACCATCCAGACAATATAAATCTAGTTATAACATCAAGAAATAATTGAAAATATTAAGAATGGCCTTCTGATAGTTTTATATATTGAATATCATAATATAATAGATTTTCGAAGGCACTAAAGAAGTCTTGGTTTTCAGATATGAGGCCATGCCAATTGATAGGTTTATTACAAGCTATCATTTTATTATCCACATCTCTTACGCCAAGAAGATTACTTCAAAATGTCTATTGCAAAACAGAGTAAATATTCATGAAATTCCAAATATAAATTCAATATTCGGATCTCATGATATGAATGTTAGAAACTTCCTTCCCTTTGGGTTCATGAATATTCTGGTAAATCTGACAGTAGACATGGCTCTGGTGCTCCCCAGCGGATATGTACTTAGCAATAGCATTCGCTGAATTTGATTATCTCGCGATATATCACTTTGGAGGACAGTTTGCAGAGCATGGTTTAGTCTAAAAACTTCCTGTCAAAATTTTAATCAAGTCAGTGAGCAGGGGTTTCAATAAATATTTTTTCAACAGGCTTTTTGGCAATTTCAACAGGCTGAAACTTATTTCACTTAAAATAACTTAGGGTAAGGTAAGTAACAGTGAATTTTATTTCTACATATTTGAACAGGCGCAATTGAGATTTGAACAGGCGTTTTCGCCACCCGCCTGTGCTTATTGAAACCCCTGAGTGAGCATGATAATATATATAATATGTATATAAGATATGCAACATTATAACTTGTATAAGGTAAAAGATCAGTGAATATTAATCAGTCAATATCTCAAGTGGAAAGTTCTTAAAGTTCACTGAATCACCCACTCCTACATTATTCTCTTTTTGGCCAGAAAATGCCAAATTCAGGGAGTTGAGAATCCAGACAAACAAAACATGTTTAAAATAAAATTAATGGCAACACCTCATTTTCAAATAAAATTCAATATTGGTAGAACTGCTTATAATTAACACATTATCAAGGCTTGGAAAGCCTGAATCTAAATTCTTATGCACTTACAACTTAAATACCTCATGTTTTGGGGTTAGTTACACACCAACCTAACTCTAACTAAATCTAGTAGGTTAACATTATGTTAGCATACATTACTATGGCATTAACAGACTCAGGATATAGCATGCATGCAGATAGTTAACTGATCTGCAGCTCTTTATAAGAAATGGGCTCCATGTGATTGGGTCCCTATCATATGCCTCCCATGTCATCTACCGACTTCATCTGGAGATATCAAAAAGTTTTTGTTTCTCCCTTATCTTCTAGTTCTTGGCATCAAAGTATGATTTCAATATTTAGACATTTTTTTAAAATCTAGAGATCACAACTTAACACCTAGGACTAAATATCCCAATTCAGATAAATCCTCATATTGTGACTTGGCACTATTATAAAATTAGGAGTCTTACTTTCTTGTCTTAATTAACACTTAAGCTCCTGAGATATTTACTCTTCTGAGAAATAACATCTGATTTGAAAATCTCTCAATCATGCTGTCACACTTTTGCATAATAATGGTTCTTTTTGTAACTCTTATCGTAACAAAGAATTTGACTTGGCAAATAGGTTTGATTGATCTAATTAGTAATTATCGGATCCTAATCCTAGGACAATATCTTTTCTCCAAACTCTGTTTTTCTTTTATCAAAAATTTTAAAAAACTCCAACGAAGTATCCTTTGATATTCACATCAAAAACTGTTATTATTCTGAATACTAAATAAGGAGCCCATTATATATTTTTGATTCTGCCCTCTTATATGAAGTGAAGGAATATAAGCTAATCAGGAACTAATGAGTAAATGAAATAGATAGCAGGTGCCAGCATTCTATCTTTACTGGCTCCTGACCAATAAAGTAACTAATTAAAGGTCAATAGTACCTGATATCAAATAAGTCCATCTTTATTCAAGTATTGATCTGGGAGAATTTTGCTAACATGTATGCCCTGTCATTTTTGGAAAGCCTGGTCAAATTTCTAATATGCCAAAAGTTTTACAATTTGTGATTTAAAATGGTATAACTACATATATTATTCAATAACTTATATACCCTTTGCATTCATTGGAATACAGAATCTGTATTATACATCACCATACAGGGCTCTCACCAAGAAATATTTCGGGCCACGGTATGGTGGAAACATCTTCAGCATAACTGTTCAATGTTTTTCATCCCTTTACATGCTATTATTGTGTATTCAGTCAAGTTTAGACTGTGGAAACAATCATGACTGCCAATAGGTTGTTGTGGTTTAAGCTAAAGAGACTGTGGCGCTGCACCACAGTCTAAAAGCCTAGCAAGAGCCCTGCCATATCATACAGTCATATGCTTTGACCTCTAAATGGTTTTCTGTTGAAAGCTCATTCAAAAGACCATCAGATCTATATCTAGGCCTACATATATCCCAATTATGTCCAAAAAACAGAACTTGATATTGCTCTATCATCATCATAGAATTTTGAAATACAAATGAGACTGCAGTGGTCATGGAAAGAAATAGAAGTTAACTTTTTGTCAATACTTCAAGATATCAGTGATTTGAGGATCAATAATCTCTGATAACGTCTAGAGAGATCTCCCGTATATATATTCACCTGTATTTCCTTGTAGTATGCAGCTACTTAATACCAGAGTATGCATGATACATTTCTCATGAATCTAAGTTCACATTTCGATTAGTGAAGTATGGGCATTCTCTGCCAATTGTGGTTACAACCCAGTATCCATACATGTGCCATGTTTTTCAAGTCCTTTTTTGTTCCATCAGAATTTTTGTTTACACAAATTCCATGGAATATAAAAAGTTCCCCAAAGCAGATGGCGGAACCATGAAGATTTAACAGGTAAAATCACATTGATATTTTGGAGATCATTTTGCCTATATTAGAAAAACTTTTGCTACATTTGCTACATTCTCATGATTCTGTCCTTGAGATAATATTTAGGCATCTATAGAGAAAATGTTCGGACGGAACTTGAAGGGTGCTCTAGACTTAGAGTCTAGTCTAAAATGATGTAATTTTTCATCATACGATTCTACTTAATATGATAATTGCATTTACAAACTTACTACAATATGATTTCTACTAGTTTCTTGGAGTTTTTGGTTCTTTGTTTCTCCCACAACACATTCATTTTGACAGGTCCCTAAAAATTGTGACTGCAATCTAAATCTACTAAACTTTCTAAATAAGTTTTAGGTTATATATTGAGTCTAGAAAAGTGAGATCTCTGTATATAAATGTGACTTGATAGTTTATTAAATACACTCACCTCATTATAATTATATAGAAACGAGATTAATGGAGTTATTCAGCTCTCTATCGGACGTTCGTGAATCCTGGCTTTTTGAAGAAATCCTGGACCTTTGACCTCCGCCAGGTGGCGCTCTAATCCGTAAAATATTTTCGAAATGTTTAGATTTTCGATAAATTTTGATTATTTGCACCGTATCATGAGCTAAAGTCAATAAGACAAATATTCGAAGAATAGTTTGTTATTACAGAATCATGGCAGCCCAACAGCGAGTCCAGGACTACCTTAAAAAGCACAAAATTGGAGCTTTGTTTGAGGTAGGATTTTTGTTGACATGATTTTTTCAATATTGGGCCATTCCATTTAAAAAATGTACGTGGGGTATGGATGCAAAATTCTGGGGGGGGGGGGGGTGTTGACCGAAAAATTCTGGGGGGGGGGGGTAGGAGACCAACAAATTCTGGGGGGGGGGGGTGTTGACCGAAAAATTCTGGGGGGGGTAGGAGACCAAAAAAATTCTGGGGGGGGTATTGACCATGGAATATTCTGGGGGGGGGGGTATTTGCAAAGGCATTATGAAGGGGGGGGGGGGTTTAATAATAAGTGGGTGGTGGTGGTAGTCTGTGGGGGAGTATTCTATAGGGGTATAAGGGTGGAGTGTCTTTCAGTCTTTTAAAAGGCGGTAATAAGTCAGTTAATGTACATGTATTTCTTGAGTATTTTGTGTATGGACTTGTCTGACACCAAATCTGGGTCATGTTTATTATTTCGAAATTTAATCCCAGCCAACAGAACAAAGTATGCTACAGCTAGATGTATACAGGTTTTTCTGACTTTCATATTTGCAATGTATTTGTGATCCTATATAATGCTTAATGCTAAGATAAGGAAAACGTTGGTATGGTCTTGTTAAGGGTATAACTTTCTCTACAGTGTCATGGCTTTCATAGAACTCCTCTTCATTTCTGGAACAGTAAAACATGATTTCCCCAAAAACATGAAGAATCATTAAAATTAACAAATATGACATTTTTCTCTGAAACAGTTACTGCATATTATTTAAACATTTTTAAATTCAGACAATGAGAATTAGAATATCTTCATTCTCAAGTGAGATCAGTACATTTTCTAATTTATATCATACATCCTATATACTGGGGATCCACTTGATTACACCGGTAATCATTATATCAGTATCATATTTTTTTGAAAATGTACATGTTTGCGAAAAAATAGCTCAGAGGACAACAGAATCGTTACCCTTTGCATTTGTTTGACTTCACTTCTTAAAAGAGAGCTTCGTCTTCACTCTTTCAAACTAAAATAAACCTGTGAACTCACCGCACCAATCAGTGTTCGTTGGCCAAATTTGACCGACGTTCTATATATGGTCATTCCTTCTGACGTCATCGTTGAGCCCGGAATTATGTAATTTATGTTGAAGAAATAATAATTAATGAAAAAATATTGTAGTTACCAATGGAAACATTACATTTTAATTTTGATTGTGTGAAGTGAACAATGGTAGCGAGTTCAACTAACTAATTATGAAATATTCAGTTTTTATTTTTGCTTTTCATAATCATTTAGTCTGTTGAGAAAGTACACAGGTCATCTGAATATATCAGGATAAAACTATACAACCTCAATATAACAAATTAGTGAACTTGTCTAGAGATTAGGATACATTACACTAGTAGGCACATGACCTTACTCTGAATTGAGAGCTACAAGCAGTATATAGTACACTAGATCCAAACAAAAAACAGTGTATGTGACAGTGACCTACATGTAAACTGCAATGTTGGAACCAATATATAGGTTCCAATCTGGCAATTACTTCCTTGTTCTTTAGACTTTTAGACAATTTGGTCAAATTATGGAACATGTGTAGCCTTCAAATATAACTTTATTCAAGTAGATGAGAGTATCTAGAACACTTTTGTTATAAGTTCATAGTATTATTTTCTGTCATGTCTGTTCCACATTTTGGGCATCTAATTTCAGTCATAAACTATGTGGTCACTTCCTTCACATATTGAACTTTTCATGTGTTTTTGAAAATATAGGACAGTAGTTTGAAAAGTAAACCACTGAATATTCTAGTTATTCATACATTCTAAAGAATTGTGAACCATTAATAGGTACACTAATTTCTGGTAGTCAAAATTACTTCACTCATTTTGTCTACATTATTGAGGAAGGTTACTTCAAACTACCAGCAATATTTTCAGACTAATTCAATCAGATTGTATCTTTGATACTATATACATTAGTGTTGTCGCGATGTGCCATAATCGTACATCGATGCATCGGCAATTTTCAGTAGTAAACATCGATGCACATCGCGATGTACATCGAGAAAAAGTCCGAGAAAAATGCACTGAAATACCGAACGCTAATGCACTAAAATACCGAACAGAACATATTAATAAGAGTACGCTGGTACATCCGGGATCTTCTAGTAACGGTGAAATGAAAGTAAAGTTAATTGTTTTAGATTAATGGTTCATTTCTACTAACTAAAACAGTTTTAAAGCGAAAGAATATCAGAAAACATCAGAAAATGAAATAAGACATGAGAAAGGTAAGCGATTTGGGTGATTTTTAGCAAATGACTTGAAATTTTTTTAAAAAAACATCGATGTTTTGTTTCAGACATCGATGCATCGCCAGAATCAGCTTTGGCGATGTATATCGCGATGTATCGATTAATCGCGACAACACTAATATACATACACTTTTTCTGCTAACTAGTACATGAAAATATACTGTTGAGACTAGATGTCATCAAAACCACCATAGCTAAGGCAAAAAAAGTTGACCTAGAAATATCCTGTTACAGTAATATAAGCAATAATTCATTCTGAGCGTATGACTTACTAACATTCTGTTAAAGGCACGTGTATATGGAAATATTTTGAAAATTTCTGGTACAAAATATAGTATGAAGGCATGTGTTTTATTTCTTTGTTTTTTTTCAGGAAATTATCTTTGCATTGCCTTCTTTAAGTAACTGAGTAAGCCTGGTAATTATCTTGTGCCAAGAAAATCTCAGGTTATGCAGACGGAATCCAAAGAACATTATGTTATTTATCAAAAGACATAAAAGTCGGTGCTAGCTATGTACATATTTCTTACTTCAATTTAATCTAAAGACCAGCCTAAGTGTTCTCTCAAAGCCCAAAAGTTGCGGCTGTCTCAAATCGCAGACTTTTTAAATCGACCAGTATTTCAAAAGACAGCTGTAGCTTTGAGAGAATGTTCAAGCTAGTGTATAGAATCAATTGAGTAGATTACATCCTCTAGACGGTATTTTTTGAAATTTAGTTGGAAATACTCAGACTGTAAACAGCCTATGTTAAATGTTGTTGTTCAAACATATCTTTTTAATGTAAGTTATAATTCAAAGTGACTGATGTAGTAAATTAATTTGCATATTTAAATTAATTTTAAGTTCCACTACATGTAGCTTTATCTCTTAGACTAGACAATATGCTGTGTTACTTTTTATGTCATTTAATTGTACCTTACTACCTAATTGAATTTTCATAATGTTTATTTTATTGAAGTAATGCTTCCTCTAATGAATTGATAATTTTGTGCAATACAATTCACCGCAATAACCACACGACAGAAAATAAGGATAACAAACTGAGTTCACACTCAGTCTGTTGGATACTAATCAATAATGAGGTAAGAAATATGTGCATAGCTGGTGCAGATATTTTTGGACTTGTGAAATATAACATGTGGTTCTATTGCATACACACCGATAACGTGGGTATTTCCATGAACATGTGCCTTTAACACTAATTTGTAAATTCTGCAAACTGATTGCCTATTTCAATGGTAGGAGCAACTTATAACCTTTATATTGTTTCTCAAGGAGGGATTTTGCGTGCTTCGGGGGGTATGGATGCAATTTTCCAGGGGAGAGGGGTATGGATGCAAATTTCTGGGGGGGGGGGGGGTATGGATGCAAATTTCCGGGGGGGGGGGGGGGTGGTATGGATGCAATTTTCTGGGGGGGGGGGTAGCAAGAAAAAAATTCTGGGGGGGGGGTATCTCAGCCTGTGCATCCATACCCCCCGTACATTTTTTAAATGGAATGGCCCATTTTTAGAAATGTTAGACTAGATATGTTTGGACCACAGGAACCTGGACAATTCAGCAGGGTTCATTAATTGATATTTCTATTGAACTTAAAAGTAAATATATAAAACATACCATTCTAATATATGTATTATGATCACAGGTAGGGATCAGATCGCACCTTCGCGTCCATACCGCTGTTTTCCGTACAGGTTGCCGCTCCTTCGAGTAGATAATCGACAGAATTTACGAATACAAAGGCTCTATCTTTTAATTCAGTCAACCTAGCCCTTTCTTCATAGTATATTCAGTTAGAGGAATGTGTTTCATATCATCTACGTTTTTAAGGGTACTTACATATGTCTAGGTTGCTCGTAGGACAGCACACAAATTACCCCCTGACATCCACCATTTCAGTTAAGTACGTTTTTCTTGGATTTGGGGTCATTTTTGTTCCTTCACACCTCGTCCAATGTAAAATTTGATTGATTTTACTGTTTAAATGGCTAAATGCATAAGAATATATACCTGTTATACCAGCATTGTTTCGACTTTACAGTTTCTGTCAAATTCCGCCATTTTCGTTTTTGGATTACGCACCTTAATCGTATTTTGGTTTCAGTTTGGTAGAACTCTCCTTTTATTCAGATTAATGTTAAATTGGCAAAGTTCAGATCACAGAGAACTATTTACACGTGATTTGTGTCGTTTTTAGAGTTCTTTCAAAAACGATACAAACGATACAAATCATAGTCTATGTAAATAGATAGTAAATGTAAAGAAAGTGAAACTTTTTGTAGATACTTCTAAGCCATGGATTACAAATGGGATTATCACATCAGCCAAGCAAAAAAATAATCTTTATCGTAAATTTATGAAGACCCCTAGTGAAGAAAATGAAAGAAACTATAAAATATATAAAGCAAGGTTCAGAGCTATTTTGAGAGCTGTAGAAAAAACCCACTATCGGAATCAATTTGAAACTGCATCTGGAAATATTAAACAAACCTGGAATATTATCTCTGACATTTTAAATAGAAAAAAACTTCATACAGTGGTTCAAAACGAATTTCTGGTCGATGGTATTGCAGTAAATGATAAAAAGTTGATTGCCAATAAATTCAACTCATTCTTTTCTTCAATTGGATTAAAATTAAGCTCTAAAATTCCAGAGTCAAACAGAACACCAAATGAATATATTAGTAATATGGGACATTTTGAAAATAGATTTCACTTAACACCAGTTGATGAAACAGAATTGTCATTATTAATACAAACTTTGAAAGACAAGGCAGCATCTCTTGATAATATTAAACCGATTATTGTAAAACATGCAAAAAATGAACTTATACAGCCTTTACTTTTGATATTCAATAAATCCTTCCAACAGGGAATTTTCCCGGATAAACTCAAAATAGCCAAGGTAACACCAATTTTCAAAAAAGGTCAAAAAGACAATTTCTCAAACTATAGACCAATTTCAGTCTTGCCAGTTTTTTCTAAACTTCTAGAAAAACTTATTAACTTTAGGCTCTGTAATTTTATCACAGAAAACGAAATATTATATATACATCAGTATGGCTTTCAGAAAAATGTCTCTACCTTTATGGCAATCTTAACTTTTGTTGAAAACATACGACATGCGCTGGAGAACAATGAATATTCGCTTGGTATTTTTTTAGACTTGTCTAAAGCCTTTGACACCATTAATCATAAAATCCTTCTAGATAAATTAAATTTTTATGGAATTCAAGGGTCTGAACTTTCTCTTTTTAAATCATATCTAAAAGATCGAAAGCAAGTTGTATCATATAACAATATTGACTCTGATTTACAAAGTATATCATGCGGTGTGCCCCAGGGCTCAGTCCTTGGGCCGACATTATTCATATTATATGTAAATGACATGTTTAAGGTTTCCAATATTCTTAAAACCGTAATATTTGCTGACGACACTAATTTGTTGGCCTCAGATAAAGATTTGAAATCTCTAATAGAAAAGGTTAATGATGAACTTGATCTTATGGACGATTGGTTCAAAGCAAATAAATTGTCAATAAACTATTCTAAGACAAAATTTATCTTGTTCAATAAACAGAAACGACAAATCTTTAGAGATATTAAAATTGATATGTCCGGGAAACAAATTGAAAGAGTAAAATCTATCAACTTTTTAGGTGTCATTGTTGATGAACATATTACCTGGAAAGAACATATTAAACATATAGAAGCAAAAATATCCAGAACAATTGGTCTCTTATATAAGATTCGCCACCTATTGAATAAAACAAGTCTTTTGGCAATCTATAATTCCCTGATATACTCACATTTAAATTACTGTAATTTAATCTGGGGTGGCCATAGCAATGCTCATACAAATGAGCTGCATTCTCTACTTCTATTTCAAAAGAGATTCCTTCGAATATTAGACAACCAGCCAAGAATGGCACATTCAGCACCTCTCTTTAAGAAGTACAACATTTTACCTGTAAACCAGGTGTATGAATTTAATGTTTCGAATTTTGTCTATTGTTGTATTTACCAGGAACCTGTTTATTCAAAACTATATAATGATTATTTTAATCAAAATGAATATTTTCACAATTATCCTACCAGAAGAAGTCATGATTTACATGCTAGGGCTTACAAAACAAAAATAGGGTTATATTCAATCAAAGTACAGGGTCCAAGAATCTGGAATTCTATCTCAGATCATGTCAGATTTTTGCCTTCATTACTTCAATTCAAAATGACTAGAAAGAAAAACTTAATTGCTGAAATATAATTATATATTGTCACCTCATCTACCTTTCCATCCATACATTTTTTCCTAAACTGAAATAGAGTTAACACACATTGGCAGCCACAACTCACCACCACTAGCCATAAGTTAGATGCATACATATGCTATCAATATGTATAGTTATTATTAAATTTTCATTTTTGTCACAAAAACAACTTCATACACTTGTTAAAGTGTCAGTTGATGTATAATTTATGTATCATAGTTTGACAATAAAGTATGTAACTAACTAAAACTAAAACTAAAAAATAGATTAGAATTTCTCAAATCGCAGCCCATCGATTTTTAAAGAATTGCAATAAAATACAGCAGAACTTCTCACCTTTATGTCGTAAACATTTAAACAAAGAGGCCACGAAAATCAAAACCTCTGCTGTCCTGGTTGGTTAAAGTGCAAAAACGTCGCCACATTTATGTAAATGAGCCAAATTACCGGGGCCCACAAACAATTGTGTGCCCAAAATTTTTGCAGTGGGCCTTTTTAGGTCAAATTATCAAAAATGGGCATTCAAAGTTTTTTGATTTGAAATGTACACCCCCCCCCCTTGTTAACTTCTGGATTCGCCAGTGGTTATGATCACAAATCTACAAGTTATTCTTTACTCTCTCTCGCGAATAGGCCTACGGGCGTTTATTTTGCACAGGGCGTTTATTTGAAAGAATTTTTAATAAACGCCCATGGGCCTATATTAAGAGGGAGAAAACAATTTTCCAAGGAGGATAGGCGTTTATTTAGAGGAATAGCTAGGGGGATATTATCGATTGTATAGTTGACACATGGCCTTCATACTCACGCACTAGTATGATCACGAACGTGGGCAAAAACGTTGACCAATATGTGACCTCATTTTTATTAATCATTTGTACTTGAACGACATTAATCACGTATTACCTTACATTATGTACTATTCGCAATTTCATCCCTTTTCTCGAATGTTTTGCCAACTGGGCATTTATTTGAAATAATTTTTAATAAACAAATTTATATTGGAAAGTTAATCCAATAGCCAGCCAATTTACCTTGAAGGTGTGAAATATATGAATAGCATCGTGAATAGCCCTATTAAGATAGGCTAGGCTAATTCTGTTAAAACTATACTCATATTAATCACGTATTATTTTGGTAAATAAATGTCATATTTTGTTAAATTAAAAGTGTTTAGCATAAACTTCTCTAGATAAAACCAATATGATTTAATCTTTTAGAATTAATTCACCTAACTTTTTTACAATCAATAAATTCAGAAAATTACTTAACATTTCCGATTTATATCTAGTTTCTAATTTATCCCTAATTCTTTCAAAATTCATCAATATCATAATGAAAGGTACATCTAATTGTTTTTATAGATATTTAAATATGGTGGGGTCGAGTTGACTAAGGGTTGAGTTGACCAAGGGTTGAGATGACTTGGGGTCGAGTTGACTAAGGGTTGACTTGACTTGGGGTCGAGTTGACTAAGGGTTGACTTGACTTGGGTTGAGTTGACTTGGCGTTGAGTTGACCAGTTACCTTTTTAAAGAGGGAAAAACCTTTTCATACACCCCACTTTCAAATAAACGCCCATGGGCCTATTCGCGAGAAACTAACATCGTATGTGTACAAAATAGATATATATGCCAGCATGTACATATGCCAGCAGATGAACTGGAATCAATATTCAATGTACGTACAGTACACCTACTAATAAGGTGTGGAACTGTTACAAAGAAACAGTGGAGCTTCGTGTCAAATTGTGTTGATCGTCAAATGGGATGGAATATTATATGAACGAACAAAAGGATATTATCTTTAACATTCATGGCACAATTCCAATTATATGTGGTAGCTGGGGGAACTAATACAAACACGAGTTTTACCAAAACAACTGGCCACGAGAGATTTTCGAATGATAATTCCCGACTGTGCGCCCGTTTATGAAGAAACTTGAGGTAAGCTGGCGTGGGACATGGGTGAAAATGGTAGATAAATATGTGATTCAACTTATTAGACCATAAACAGATCGGATAATTATTGTGAATTACGATTTAGATGCAGTTCTATGACCTACCTGTCCGTGATTTCTACTCGAAGGGGCGGTATTTCTACTCGAAGGCGCGGTAACCTCTACGGAAAACGGCGGTAAGAACGGGAAGGGGCGAATTTGATCCCTACCTGTGATGATTATTCATAGCTGTTCATAGCATAGGCAATGGACAAAAAGCCAATCTCACATGAATTGTTAATGTTCATCTTCACTTGTCATTTATTCTACAGGAGTTGATGGCCAAAGTAATAGACAAAATGCCAGAAGAACCCGTTCCATACATAATCCGAGTTTTACAGCGAAAATATGGTCTTTCTGAGGTAAGGAATTTTGATTTTCTGGAATGAACCACTGTGCTTTTACAAGAGCCAATAAAAGTTGGAACATTTTTCAATTTATTCAAATTTTCTTTATTATTGCAGTTCAATCCACAATTCAGATAATTGTAAAATGCTTATTTGTGAAAACATTAAGGGAAAAAATAAGGAGTACAATTATTTTTGCCTTGTCATGGTCAGGCTCTGTATCCTGTGTGTGTCATGAAAATTTTCCAATTTTCTCTGCGTGAGACATCACTCCTGGAAATACAGTATCTTTCATACCATACAATATGTACCCTCCAAATGGTCTCAGCACAATTTCCATCAATTAAAACATATGTAGTTATCCCTCAAAGAAGCTATACATGTCTCCCTTGGATTATATAGCTTAACTGTTCTCAGCTTTTGTTCAAAACTCTCACAATATATCTCAAAACCTATCATTTTAGCATAAAGAATACATTAAGCTCTATACCATTGTATTTCAGTCTGATGATTTTGGCCAAGTCAGAAGGAGCACAGGGGAATATGGAGGTAAGTAGATAAAAAGGCTCAAGAGTACAACATTTCAAATACTTGGAAATAAAGTGTGTTAATTATAACCCTATGGACTCGAATGGAGAGAAATAGATTTGCTACACAATCTAAAATAATTGAATAACATTACATAATGGAATAAGTTTGATTGAACTGTTTCAAAATTTTCACTTGATATGACGTGTTCATATGCACTATTTTTCAGACACATTCGGTGTTGCCAAGGAAAAGGCGAGTTACGACAAACCATGGAAGACAAACAGTAAACGATTAAAGCCAAAGAAATCTGAAGATGTAGAGAATAAAAGACCAGGTAAGGAAAATTATGTAGCTTATTTGTAGTTGCATTTTGTTGTTTCCATATGTTGTCTCCTTTAACATTCTCTATTTTGAAGGAGATATCTTAGGAGCTCTTATTGGTTCCAGTTGTTGTTGGCTGTTTCATTTCTTTAGCAATTTCAACCCTTCATTTGGAGATTTATTATGAGAATATTTTTGATTTGACTTTATTTTACATGATTCTTTAAATTTCAGATCTTCTGTACAGTGTGAATTATTCAATGCTCAGACATATTTTATTTTGAATAAATACACTTCTAAGTTTTAGTACAATATTTATTATTATTTGTTTGATATCAGGTTAATTATATGAACAATTGTTGCCAATACATAATTGCAGCAATTAGAAAGGCTTCCCCAACAAAGGATAGGTTCATCCAGTCTGCACCAGTTGATGCAGAATTCAATGATCTTTTCCGTGTTAGCCCCATAACTCCCAGAAATGTCCGCAGTGCTACCCCACGAGTTAACCAGGAATCGAGTCCGAGACTTCCACAGATTTCTCCTTCCCCCAGTAGAGGTTAAATATGAATATTAGCATGGTGCTGAAGGATTTTTCTTATATGTACTAGGTGGCATTGGGTTAAACATAATTTGAAGTTCACAATATACATTTACTGTGCTTTTTATGACACTACCAAGAAGAAGTGACATATTTTTTTGTATCTCATACTTGAGTGGGTTTGCGGTAGATATCACCTGGGAATACATATCATATCTGAGGAGCAGGCAGGATATATTGTATATGTCCCACTCCAGACCAAATGAAGGCAGATATAATATATCCATCCCACTCCTGGGAATTTTTCAAAAGTTTAAAAAAGTTTAATTTTTTTTAAAGTTTAGATGTTTCAATTTAATTGTATTGAACGAAAGGAATATTACGAAAATGTTGAATATAAATTGTGCTTTCACAGTATAGGCCTATCTTGTCATTTGAAAAGGTGGAACCCCAAACCCACACAAGTATGAGATACACCAGTTATGTACGGTCGGTTTTGGATATAGGGAATATCCAAAACCTCCCAGTACATAACCCTTATATATTGTTGTCATTTTTTGACTGGCACGGTGGTGGGTATTAACTCAGCATTATAAAAGTGATTACGCTTTTTTAACCATTTGCACTAACTTATGAGGTGACTGCATTTTGTCGTATTGATGCCTTAATTGAGCAGGTCGTTGTTCCCCCCTCAAAAAAGAGGAGATGCAAAAATCTTTCCTTATAAGGTTAAAATATTTCCCATGATGCAGTTCGCAGAGGAACAAATTTATACTTCCTTGTTTTCCCCCATAGCTTTAACATGGGGATTGTCACACCTATTTTTCAAACGATATATTTGTTTATATTCCCGTACGAGAGCACAGAAAAAATTATCAGAAACCGCGAAATGGACAATTGCCTAAATTCGTCTCAATATAAGAATACCATATAAAATGCTTTTTACATGTATATTGTATGTTTGATCTTTTTATGAATTCTTTCCATGCTTTTACATCCTTTGTTATTTTTAGCTCAATTGTGACTGTAAATGTAATGTGAACTTAAAAATCATTGCTTTATGTTTAAATCAACCAAATATCTCCTCTGAAATAAGGATGATTTGTCATCAATGTGGAACTCTAATGTGGAAAAGAATGGTGCTTTTTATGTGCTAATAACTAACAGGGAACATGCTTCAAATCATGAATGGAGAAAAGGGTATCAGCCAATCTACACCTGGAAAGAAAATCCATGATTTACTTCATAGCTTGTATATTCTGGTATTTGTAATAGGATTAAAGTTGGGAATAGTTGCATGAATTCTAATGGTAATACGGAATGGTTAGTTTAGCATGTATCTGACACTGAAAAAAATATGTAATGACATACTGTACTTCAACTAATATTTGATGCTATTATATTTTGCATTTTACGATTTTGAAATTTTGCAGCAATATGTATTCATTTTTGCTAAATTTCGGTTTTTCGAAATTTTTCGGCTATTAATTTTTCTGGATTTGTGAGCTCTCAAAATGTTTCCAGCTTCTTTAATTCTTTGATTTAAATCTTTTAAAATCCAAAATGAAATTTAGGAAACATTGTCTTTTAATTCCAACCTTGTATTGTCCAGCATTGGACAAAATATTGTCAACATATTGACTGAAATATATTCGTGGGAGATTCGTGACTGCTATATTCCATGAATTAGAATTATTGGAATTTTGCGTCTATTATATTTCACGAATTTTACTGAAACACATTGATACACTGGTAAAAATAGTTGAATTTAATCATATGGCTTGTGTTTCCAGCAGGTGGCATGTCCCAGAGCAATGAAGAATGGGATTCCAACACAAAGACAAAGTCCCAGAATTTTGATGAATTGTTTACAGAGACACAACAGAAGAAAACTGCAGCCATTAAGAAACAGACTGCAAATTCAACATCAAAGAATCTGTGGCGTACTGAAGCTGAGGTAATATTGCATCTTTTTGATAAATGTACAGTAATGTATTTCTTGACTTCACAATTGTGCACATTTAGAATGTCATCATAATCTTTTCAGATAGCATCAGGTTTAAGATAAAACATTTTCCCCAAAATCACGGAGTGCGATTGAAAGATTTGTCTGGTATTGGGAAGCATGCTACTTTTCATAAGAACACCAAGAAAACTTCATCAATTAATTTTGAAGCAATAGGTTTGGTTATACCAAAGAAAATCACCTACTCCATGCAATGGATATATCATTTGTAGATAGTTTTAATTTCTGTTTGAAGTCCAATAATGCTAGTGTACTCTAAAATGGCACAATATAGTGACATGATAATATTTTCATATATTTAATTTATGCATTGGGTCTTTTAATTTTTTTCATAAAAAGTTTTTTTGAACTGCTAGAGTTTGAAAATTTAAAACCTATCATATTCATAGGAGAAACATTTGAAAGGGAGTTGTCAAGGGTATGAGTTGTCTAGTGGTTGAGTTGTCAAGGGTATGAGTTGTCTAGGGCTTCAATTGTCTGGTGGTTGAGTTGTCAAGGGTTGAGTTGTTTAGTGGTTGAGTTGTCAAGAGTATGAGTTGTCTAGTGGTTGAGTTGTCAAGGATTGAGTTGTCTTGTGGTTGAGTTGTCAAGGGTATGCGTTGTCAAGGGTTGAGTTGTCTAGTGGTTGAGTTGTCAAGGTATGAGTTGTCTAGTGGTTGAGTTGTCAAGGGTTTAGTTGTCTAGTGGTTGAGTTGTCAAGGGTATGAGTTGTCTAGTGGTTGAGTTGTCAAGGATTGAGTTGTCTGGTGGTTGAGTTGTCAAGGGTATGAGTTGTCTAGGATTGAATTGTCTGGTGGTTGAGTTGTCAAGGGTATGAGTTGTCTAGGGTTGAATTGTCTGGTGGTTGAGTTGTTAATGGTATGAGTTGTCTAGGGTTGAATTGTCTAGTGGTTGAGTTGTCAAGGGTATTCGTTGTCAAGGGTTGAGTTGTCTAGTGGTTGAGTTGTCAAGGTATGAGTTGTCTAGTGGTTGAGTTGTCAAGGATTGAGTTGTCTGGTGGTTGAGTTGTCAAGGGTATGAGTTGTCTAGGATTGAATTGTCTGGTGGTTGAGTTGTCAAGGGTATGAGTTGTCTAGGGTTGAATTGTCTGGTGGTTGAGTTGTTAATGGTATGAGTTGTCTAGGGTTGAATTGTCTAGTGGTTGAGTTGTCAAGGGTATGAGTTCTCTAGGGTTGAGTTGTCTGGTGCTTAAGTTGTCAAGGGATGAATTGTCTAGGGTTAAGTTGTCTGGTGGTTGAGTTGTCGAGGGTATGAGTTGTCTAGGGTTGAGTTGTCTGGTGGTTGAGTTGTCGAGGGTATGAGTTGTCTAGGGTTGAGTTGTCTGGTGGTTGAGTTGTCGAGGGTATGAGTTGTCTAGGGTTGAGTTGTCGAGGGTTTGAGTTGTCTAGGGTTGAGTTTTCTGATGGTTGAGTTTTCAAGGGTATGAGTTGTCTAGGGTTGAGTTGTCTGATGGTTGAGTTGTCAAGGGATGAATTGTCCAGTTATTGAATTGTCACCTGGTTATTTGAAATAGTACAATAGTGCAGTGAATGGGCAATGCTTTTTGTAATTCTCTTTAGGACCATGACTTCACTTACCAAAGTTCAGGCTACACAGGTCCAAGACGAGCAAAAACAGGTGAAGACTCCTTGGCATCAGAACTAATTGTTACTCACAGTTCTAGGACCAAAGAAGACCCCATACAAACTGCAGCAGTTACATCAGGGTAAATTGATAATAGGCTCGAAGCTTAAAGATTTACTGTATGTATGTCACTAGACAACACTAGGCAGGCATGCTTTTTGAAATGATTGCTTTCAACATTTTATACTCTTTTTGTAAACTTCCTATTAACAAGAAAAAATAAATAGTTAGGTAGTCAAATGCTGGGGACATGAGAAAATTCTTTCATCCAATATGTGTTGATTCCAGGAGCAAGAGAAAGGGCCAGGCAGTGGATGCTCATAAACACAGGAAAAAGCTAGAAGAGATGATATTATCAGAACAGAAGGCTCAGGATTCTGGTTACTATGATGAGAGAGAAGAGAAAGACGATGCACTGGAGGTCTTAGGTAATGTTTCAGATGTTTTATCCAATTACAATATTTAGATAAGAGACTACAGGTTCAGTATATGCATACTAATATGGAATATACTGAAAACTGAAAACCCTTGACCTACACCTTTGGCCAAAGACTGACTGTGCATCAAAAAATATAATTTATATTAGTGTTTCAGTCATTTCTCATTGTAAGTACATTGTATAAGTTTCAAGTTTAAAAACTGATTAGTTTTGGGGTATTCCGGGTCAATTTTTAAGGTGGCCATTTTGGATTAAGGGCTGAAAATCCACAATGTTCACATTAACATTTACCCAGAATGACAGTTCTAAAACTTGGAACTAATTAAGAACTTTATTACATGTATTTACAATGAGAAAATGGCACTTGACTGAAATATGAATTTGAATTACAATTTTTTGATACCCAGTAAGTCTTAGGGATGTTTCTTGGTATACAACTTTACAACTGATTTGTTTTGGGGCATTATGGGTGAATTTTAAGGTGGCCATTTTGGATTTTCTGTCCTGAAATCTTATCTGTAAAGATTTTTATAGTTTTGAGTCAAAACATTTCTTGGATCAATCTGAAATTTTCAGAGATGTTTCTTGGTATAAAAGTGTACAAATGCTTAGTCTTTGGACATTCTGGGTAAATTTTCAGGTGAGATGGGTGTCACAATTCACAGTCATTTGTGTGAAATCTAATTTTATATTGTCAAGGACACCTGGTCCTTTATTCACTATATAAGAATCCACCCCATTTCTCTTAAAGGGAATGCGAAGTTTTGTCCCTTAAACTTGATAATAAGTTAGAATAAAGATACATCTTTCATTCCAACTTCGTTTTATTGTTCTATCATCACCCCCTTAATTGTTATTGAGCCCCGGGTTTTGTATATGAACTGGACCACGGAGCTGCCATTTCAACCGTAAAGTGGTTCTTTACGACATTGTTATGACGTCATTGATGCCAGATTGATGCCTTGGCATTCCAAAAGTTTTGTGGCGCCATTTTTGAATCAAAAATTAAATGCTGAGTTGTTGCCATTCCAAAACCGAATAAATCATTTTAAAGGAACTAAAAGAATACGTATATAAACTTACCACCCATAATAAAGAACGATTTCAATAGAATATTAACGCCGGCATTTTCGGAATTGCTTTTTACCTATCAAGACATGGAATGCAGGTTACATTTATTCGTTATTTAGCCTACACTTGAAATAATCTGGGATTCGTGATGATTTAATTTGCTTGTCTCATTACAAAAATACGTGTTCGTACTTCAATATTCATTGCATTTATGTTTATCTTTAACATAAGTATTCGAAGAAAATTTTAAAATTAAATTTAAACTGTATTCAATTACTATCATGGATTCTCAGCCTCACGTCGCATTTTTACGGGGACCGTACAGTCTATCATTTCTGCGGTAAGTAAAATCTCTACGGTTGCCAAAGTATTTCTGCAGTCAGATAATTTAGCAGTCACATTTGCTAAGATAGCTGTACGGCGTATTTTGATTATGAGGAAAAACTACGATTCCCGTACGGCTGATAAACGATGACGCACGATAAGTGTAGGGCGGCCCTACGACGTGCGTAGTTTTTCTTGAAGGCCTCCACATGTACAAGGGGTTCTACGGTTCGGAAAGGTCAATTGTAACCTATGAAATCCAAGCGCAGCCGCAAGTCGACCGTGAACCTGACGTACAGCCGCCGTGGGACCTACTTTTTGGCTGCTACTTGTTGATATCTACAGTGACCATAGAAAAGAAAAAGTTCTCCGACTCTACGCCCTGTAAAAACTTAATTTGCCGTGTACGTAGACCGCAAGGTGACCTTAAGGTGACTGTAGTTGTCCTTTGATTGCCGAAGAAATTTACTGATTTCAGGGAAATACGGTCGACATGCTGTCGCATTGAGCAAATGTGACTGAAGCTTTTAAAGTTCAACTTATTTTAGAAGAAACGATATGGAAAAACAAAAGGTGTATGCCATTAAATTGAAAATCATTATTTGGAAAATACTGTAGAACTGTACTTACAACTTACGGATGTTATATAATTCAATTCGAGCTCGAAATCAGGAATTGTTTTTAACAAAAAATAAATATGTATTAAAATAAATATTAAAATAGCGTACTATCAATACGGAAATTGCCTTATCGTCGTTGAAATGAAATATCATACTACAATCAACCCCATCGTCTCCCCGCATCACTGAACGTTATGAGCCTTCTGTCACGATCCAAGGTGACATACCATTGAAAAGCTTTTTGTAATATTGAATGTCGCTATTACGGTGATATGATGATTGGAATATTACGTATTATTCTTTGAAAATATGACAGTGGCATGTCCTTGTAAAGCTATTGCCAATCTTAATATTTAGGAGATTGACATTTACATAAGTATCATTTAGACCACATCGATTTTTCGTTTTTTGTTTGTGTTTTTCATCAGAATTTAAATGGTTAAACACTTTAGGGAGTTACTGTTTCATATGATTACTACTTTTCGTTCTATTTCTTTCATTCTCCAATATGCACCTATTTATATTTGAATAGAACACTACAGATAGAAGAAATCTACCATTTATGCCTATTTGCCGACGTATACCAGGGGCGTAGGAAGGTGTAAATTCAACACTACGCCAAAAATATGTGTCAATTGTGTCAAACCTTCTGCTTATATCAAAACGCCTATTTTATGGCAATACCTTTCTAATGTGCTTAAAATGTTCGAATGTTTTCCATCATACAGTGAAACCGGTTTATCTGAACACCTCTTTAATCTGAACAGCCCTCAAGGTGAACACTTTCTCTTTCCCAATTTTGTGATCTCCCATTGACTCACATGTTAATAAACCCTTAAAATGTGAACATCTCCTAATTTGAACACCTTTGACTGGTTCCAGATATGTTCGAATTTGCGAATTAGACAAGTTTTACTGTATAAAATCACCATGGAAAGCCGATCTTTTTAATCTCGACATAACTCATTCTTACTTTTCTCATGTAAATGCTAATTTTCTCAAGGGATATAGAGTAGACGACCAGATAACAATAAGAGGTTTTTGATCATTTTTGAATATTGAATTTAGATACATAATTTTCTGATTCCATCGTGTATCGTTCAATGGGACAATACAAATTGAAGAAACTAGTATGATTAATCGATTTAAAGAAACATTCGTGATCAATGATACAATTAACCCTATTGTCTGCAACCTTTTTTATAACAACAATTCGCAACACCAAATGACCCCCCCCCCTCCAAAAAGGTCAAATCGAGGTCAATGTGACTAGGGGGGGGGGGGGGGGGGGGGCGCCAAAAATGCCATATATCCGAAAATAATAATCTATTATCTTGCAAATGAAATAAAAATCCAGATAAAAGCTTTTCTAGCACTGAAGTTATGTACTTTCAAAGATAACAGGTATTGCCAAAACTCATTAAAATCAAGGGAACGTGGAATTGAATAATCAACAATTTCATGTTGTTTTTGTCTACAAGTACTACCAATAACAATAAGTGATTTAGTAAGAAATAGATTTTTGCTGACTTATATTATTATTCCAATATAATTTCGGTCCATGATTTTGTCTAGCAACGGAATATAAATTGAATTAGTGAAATTCAAAAATTGGGGATAGGGGATAATTAATAAATATATATCTAAAATTTCAAGGGGTCCATCACCATAATCATGAACCACACCATGCACAAAAATTGAAAATGTATTCATCAAGTTGTTTTTGAAAAAAAGGTTTTTCTCTCAAATTCGTGAAGTAAATGCGATTCACGAATATTTGGTGAAATTGTATTTCACTTTTAAAATTCATAAGATAGTCAATAGTGGCTCGATTTTCATAAAATAAGGCATGTCGGAAAGAGGATCCAATCTGTTAAGTGGTTATTTACCAAACAGCGCAATATTGATTATATTGCATTTTCGACAGTATCAGAAACAAGGTAACTTTCAATATTTTATGAATTTCATTTTTCAAAAAATGTCATTTATCTGTGGCCCAGGCTAGAAAAATAACAGAGGCACAAAAACCTTGCAAAAGAATACTTTTGAGGATATCATATATGGTATTAAATATAATATTTCTTAAGGCTTCTGTGCTGACGATTAGTTTTAAAATTTATGCACAATGAGAGAATATGACTAAAGAACAGAATATAGGAAAAATAAAAAGCATTTTTTATTCTCACTTTTCAACACTACGCACTGGCGTTTTGGCGTACATTGTTCCTACGCCACTGTATACCTTATCATTATATAAAATAATTCTAGTGGATATTTTTCAAGTGGAATATAATGCGATGACTTTTCAGTCAAAACCAGTTAAATTGCAAATCGCGTAGCCGATATTTCAGAAGTTTAGTGATTTTCCTACCTAGCCTATACTATATTACATTGGAGAAAATAAATAGAAACATTTGAAAAAAGACATTGCAACAATTCAATTTCTATGAAGAATATATTGAAGCAACCTTTCCAAATATATAATATGATATGGACACGAACATGCGGCAACAATGTTAAGCGGACAGAAATAGTTAAAAAATATCAGTGAAATGTGTTTTATTTCTGCGATCCGAGTATGACGTGATTTCCCAGGCATCAATTTTAAGGCATCAATGACGTCATTGATACATAACAATGGCGGCATCCGCAGCGATCCAGATATGGGTACTTTGAACTTGAATTATATGTTAGTTCAAACACGATATATCCAATGAGTGAGCTGAGGTGATAGATTATGGTTATAAGTAGTCAGAGTATAATTTAGAACATGAAACTTCGCATTCCCTTTAAATGTCATATTTTACATATGGATTTATATTTCAACGATAAAGACAATTATAAATACACATCTAAGTACAATTCTGTTATCTAATGTTATGTATATGGACCTTATTCTGTGACAATGGCGATTTTTGCTTTTTGTCCTGAAAACTAGTTTTGAAATCTTGTCTTCTCCATAATAAATACACAACTTGACAATATTATTAAAGACAAATGGGTAGATTTGATATATTGATGATAACATATGTGAAAGCAATCCAGAAATAACTCAGACAGAAATCCCAATTTCAGAAAAAACTTTGAACATTTTTTGACGATTTCACCGAGAGCATTCCTGGACGAAAAATGTGATATCCCTAATTAAATCATACAGTTGTTGATGCTACACAAGTAAAATTTTTCTTCCATTGAACACTCTATTTACACGCAAAAAATGACAAAGATTCTTTCATTATTGAGAAAGATATTCCAAAATTAGTGGGTGGCATTTTTTGTGTCACCATGTACATTCCAAGAAATTTTGGACACCCTGCAAGTCATAGATTGAAGGTGCAAGTTGAAGGGTTTTTAGTATATTCCTGCTTATATACCCATTAGTAAATTAGTGTTTTGGTTGACTTTCATGACTTAGAAAATGGAAAATCTTACTTCATAATATATTTTTTCAGAAAATGCAGGAGACCTAGAATCTGAAGGTATTAGCATATCTAAAGGTCAAGGCGTCAAAGTCAGTAGGTCACAGAGGAGGTCACCTGATGAAAAAGTCAAAGTTAGCATATGTGCTATGTGTGCCAAGTAAGTAGAAATGCCTAAAATAATTAATAAAAGAAATGATTGCTTAGATGAAAAAAAATGATTAATCTATTTTAGAATCAAAAATAGCCTAGTTGCTTATTATTATCAATTGGTGATTGCATGTCTGATGAATCATTTCATCTACTTAAGGGTTATGAGTGGCCAGAGAGGACCACAGCCAAGTGAACCTGCCATGGGTAAGTCTTCCCTCTAGAGCCTACACTGTTCATAATTTACAAGTACTGAATCTCACAAGTATTGTTTATTTGCATTATTCATCTTTCTCAAAAGTAATGGCACACATCAGGTTTTTTTGACGGCGGTTGGTTTGGCGGTTGGCTTCCAATAACTTAAAAAATACTTTTTAGACTGACTTCAATTTTTTCAAAATCATCTACATGTTTTCAGATGTTCAAATCTGACTATGTATTAAAGATTTGACTTTCAATGCCCTTTTCAAGGTCAAAAAAGGTCATTTTCAACTTGCTTTAAATTGACCAATTTTTTTTCAAAATCATTTACATGTTCTCAACAGTTCATCAATGACATTCTCATGGTCAAAAAGGTATTTTTCATCTTGCTTCAAATTGACTAATTCTTTTTTCCAAAATCATCCACAATTTCTCAGAAGTTCAAATCTGACTTTAAATATGAGATTTGACCTTCAATGACCTTCTCAGGGTAAAAAAGGTCTTTTTTCTACTTGCTTCAAATTGACCAATTTATTTTTTCAAAATCATCTACGAGTTCTCAGAAATTCAAATCTGAATTAAGATTGAACTCATAATATTGTGAGCACTTAGGTGGTGACATTTTGTCATTTTAATGCCTTGTTGTTCTTAGTGGTGTTCTCTTATTTTTGCATTATGTACGCCGTACGCATTAAGGCATCAAAGTTGTACTGTAATTTGACAATAAATAATTTTGTATCAGATCATCAATTTAAATCTTTTTGGAAAAACAGTTTACTGTGTAATCCTATGCTGTTTAGATATAATTCATGAAAAAATCAGCCAAACTCAATAGCCGTCAATGCTCTGAAAAGGGGAAATTCAATTTAAATTAATTCAAGTATTATTTTACGCGCTGCAGGTACAAGGTTTGGCGAGCTACCAGACTTTGACTATGAGACTGATCGAGATTTCCCAAGTCGACCACAATCATCAGTGCGTTATACACCAACGCCCCCTAGTGATGTGGAGGATTTTGAGAGTGTATCACAAGTGACAGGTCCTAGGAGACCTGTATGGCATAATGAGGTGAATTTCATAACCAGTTTCTATCACAGTAATTTGTTCTGCTTGTTGTTATAAAGGTAGATATCACAAGTTTTTTTGATTTGTTTTTTGAATAAGCCATTTATTTTGAATTTGGTGGATTTATTGACTCCCTTTTCACTTTTTTACATTTTAAGCTATATTTATGTATATTTGGCTTCCTGTTAATTTTTTGAGAAGTACTAAAATTGAAAAATTGAAACGCTTGAATTGAGTAGTTTTCCAATACATCACTGTTATATGAATTCTAATATCTGATGGACAAGTGGATACTGGTTCATATCTTTGTATAGATTGATATACGCTTTATGGGTCATTGGAATACATGACAGGCATCTTTAGCTCTATTTCTTCCATTTTCACCCGCCTTGCTACTTTAATTCCTGCAATGCGTTTATTGAAATCTTTACCAGTACATGTAGTTCTCTTTTTGTCGAATTATTTAAGGGCATCAGAGTTTTTTCTTTACACGCTACAGTTGTGCGGCCATATTCATCAAAGGGGGGGGCAGAAACAGGGACTTTCCCTCCTCTTGTTCAAAAGATAATGAATATTTTTTTGTTTCAACAGGACTCTGATGCAGATACTATAACACCCAGGAAGGGAACACATATGTTTTCCAAGGTTGTAGACACGGATCAACATCCTGAACAACCCATGTATGCTGGGTAAGCATGTATTTTATTTCAAAGTCGAACTAAAGGCTGTGTAATTTGCTAGTCTTTCTTAGACATAAATCTGACAATAACTTGTGAACAGGGCACTTAGATGATAGTTTCAATGAAAACAATGCAATGGACTAGAATTGTGTTAAAATAAGAAATAAAACTCCATATATTGTCTCATCTAAATAATTGAAATAAACAGTACTTATTATCAATTCAAATCCTGGTACATTTTAGCTGGCGAAGAACTTAGTTAACAGATTTGATTCAAATTCAACATGCTGATGCCTTTGGGACATAGAACTCCGCTTAAGAAAGAAATTTCTAATGATTAATGAATTAAAAGTGGCCACCATTTTCATGAAAAAATACAATTTTTGATAACCGAAATACCAGTTGGAGGTCCCATGCAGTGTCTCATCATAGACACTGTGGCGGTCAGATGGAGAAATAACCAAATATTGGTGAAAATAGTCCCCTTTTTAACCTCTTGAATCCCAGGCTCTAAAATTGGCATGAAACCAGAGAATTTTTCATTTTTTGCCACCTTTTGACATTTTATTACATACCTATACAACTTTAGATGCTCAGCTTAGTAAAATTGGACGGCAGTGATCATTTCTACACGTTTTAAAACAATTTTTTTGTAAATTGGATGAAAATTGTTCAAATGAGAGCAATTTTTGTGAAAAATTTTGTGACGGATTTTCTCGTCCCTCTGGGCACCAGTCTTATTTCATTTGTGACGGATATATCCGTCACTCTGGGTATTCAAGAGGTTAATCAGTATATTCATCCAATTTTGTTATAGCTTATAAAATATTTATTCTTTTACATTATTATTTTGTAAGAATATTTCGGATACGTGGTCTATCCATACCTTGTAATTCTTTTGACTGTAATCTGATATTTCAGTACGAGATCTCCAATGTCTCCTAAGAGGGCCACAGGAACCCCTAGTCGATCACGTAGCCCTGGGAGGAATGCCCAACTGTCTGGCACTCTCCCTCTACGCTCTGTAGACATGCGCAGCAGTTATTCTAACACCCAGGTAGCAGATGATGAGAAGTCCCTTGAGTTTATGAGGAAGACATGGAGTCCCAATACACATTCCTTTGACACTGAGGTGAGTCCCAATGCACATTCCTTTGACACTGAGGTGAGTCCCAGTGCACATTCCTTTGACACTGAGGTGAGTCCCAGTGCACATTCCTTTGACACTGAGGTGAGTCCCAATGCACATTCCTTTGACACTGAGGTGAGTCCCAGTGCACATTCCTTTGACACTAAGGCGAGTCCCAATGCACATTTCTTTGACACTGAGGTGAGTCCCAATTCACATTCCTTTGACACTGAGGTGAGTCCCAATGCACATTCCTTTGACACTAAGGTGAGTCCCAATGCACATTCCTTTGACACTGAGGTGAGTCCCAATGCACATTCCTTTGACACTGAGGTGAGTCCCAATGCACATTCCTTTGACACTGAGGTGAGTCCCAATGCACATTCCTTTGACACTGAGTGGAGTCCCAATGCACATTCCTTTGACATCAAGGTGAGTCCTAATGCACATTCCTTTGACACCGAGGCAAGTCCCAGTGTCATTTGACTCCAATATTGGGATTTTGCCAAATAGTCTGGCAGAAATATAGGGTATTTTGACATTCAATCATTTTCTTCGGATTACAATGTTTTTTTAACTTATCAACATGAATATAGGATTGGGACCTCAAAACCACCGGATGCCGGTGCGGCACCCTTGGGCAACTCTCTACAGAGCATTTCTTATACCCCCCTGATAAAATATACAGGGGGTACTATAAGACACCCTCATATCTCAGATACTGATAAGTATATTAACTTGAGATTTACAGGAATTAGTTTTAGTATGATGCTTGACATGTATGACAAAAATCAAGAAAAAATCTTAATCCGTTGCTATAGCAACAGTAACAGAACACTATTTGTTACCGTAGAGATGCATTATTTTGCTGATTTTCAACATTTCTTCATATAGTTGATTCTTAAACTAGTATATAGTATTACACTAGTATATAGGACACTGCATATTTTATATTTAGTATATACATGTATATCAAATGAAATCTAATGAATTTATACAGTAGTGAGGTTGGCATATAGTCTAGACTTTGGCATTTAGAACATGCATCATAATAAAATCTAATGTAATTATACAATAGAGAGGTTGGCATAGTCTAGATTTTGGCATAATGTCTAAATTTTATAAGCATTGGCTTTCCTCATCTGAGCAATCAGACTACTGGGGGGGGCCCTGTATAGCTTCTGGGGGCCACTGGGGACCATCGTATAGCTTTTAAAGGCACTGTGAATATTTGATTTAACAGTGAATTCAATTGGATATTGAAGCTTCGAGCTTTGTTGTTAAAATAGCTCTGTGGGTTCTTCATAAAATAATATGGATTGGTCTTGTAATGTAAAAAAGACAAGATTAACACAGAATTAATATACTCATAAAACTGTACTTTATTCCAAGTAAAAGACTAAACATGTACAATTACACTCTTCAGTATAAAATAAAACTGTTCAAAGATAAAGAAAGAATGAAAATGAGATTAATAAGATGAAAAGAAATGATGTGTGATGTTCCCCCCGATCTAACTCTCTACTGAATGAAACCCAAAATTTCTCTTAAATACCCCCAAGTTATAAAAAATGAAAGGCAATCCCTTACCCTACAAAACCTATAAGAAACCCATAGAAAGATGGCAGCACAGTACGGTGAATCAACATGAAAAATGCTATACAACCCCCACCCAAATAAAATGACAATTCTCCTGACATTGTACGTACTAAAAAAACTGAAAATATGCTAAATCTAAATAAATGTATATGATATTCTAACAATGTCCTATATGAATGTTTACTAACACAGTGCCGCATACATAGTTCGTGTATAATCCATATCCATATCCAATATCCATATGAAATATCCACGCAGAGTTCGTGCAAATATCCTTGCTTCATACGTAGTTCCTGTTGATAAATGTCGTTATAATAAACCATAATAAGTTCCGATTTTATAATCCGCGTATCTAGTCCTGGATCCAATGCGATGCTGTAATACGTGCATCTAGTCCACGATGTAATATTTTCGAATCCAAAATATGCACCGTCTTAGTAGTCGAAATAATATCCATAATCCGTATATCACATGCACGTCCGCATCGTGTCCATTATCGAATATGTCCGTATCCTCGCTGAAGAATCCATAATAAAATATCCATTTCCTTGTAGCAGTGTTCATAATAAACGTTTTCGTTGGAGAAAAGAATTGTTTATAATAACAGGAGATCGTACATCTTCAGCTCCTTCATCAGTTGTCGAAATCCTCTGTGGCTCCACTCCATCCGAAATCCGCGTCGTCTGCATCTCCATAAGACATAGGCATCGCCTTCACAGGTCATCTTCATCGCTTCTTCACGGTTAGGTAGTCGTCATCTACTTCAGGTCGTCATAGGAAATCGCTTACTGGGATCCCGGGCAATTAATTTTTTAATTCTCAAAAAGTTCTCCAAAAGTGTCTTTAAGAAACATTTTTTATTAACATGTCTTTAACTTGCTTTTCTATGTGACATAAACAAGTCTTCTTCGTGTTCTAAACTCTTCATGAATTTAATTTTCTTCAAGACATCAATTTCTCTTCATTGACAAGTAACTAGTCTTTCTATCTCTTCAACATACAAACTTTTCACTTGACTTGTCTTTCATGACTGAGCGTTTTTCAACTCTTCAACTCTTCTAGCAAATCTTCAACTTCAACTCTTCATGAAATTATTTACATTTTCTCTCTATTCTTCAAAATGATCTCTGATTGTTACTTGTGAAACTTGTCTTTATCTTTAAAATGCACTGAGTGGTTAGTCTTTTAAAATAAAAGATGCAAATTGCTTACGAACAGTAAGAAAGAATATAAATATGGCTTAACATGTTTTCCATAATAGGCAGGACAAATTCTAAAAAGTAATAACACAATTATACATATCTAGCGATTTAACATTAACATCAATAATGCATGCAACATGGGTTTCAGACTCTGCCAAGATTACTAAAACCTTTTCTTCAGGTCGCCCCCTCTTGCTAGGACTTTGTTTCCGAAAGTAAATCAGTAACACCTCAGTGCACAATAGCATTTTACTTTTGATTTTCCAAAGAATTCTATATTTTCATACTTAGCGCTATGTATTGTACAAATACAAACAAATTGCTATATTCAAATATAAATGACTAATCTCTCATGTATTCATTTCACTAAACCTGATGATTGATGGCTGTCATAACAAAATCTCGTTGTAGGATCCACAGTTTGTACTTTCTTACAAAACTGAGAAAACCACTTGCCTGGGCTTCAATTCAATTCTCTATTGAACCCTAAAGGGGCAGGGAAAGTATCGCAACAGACTTTTGACAGTTGATAATTTTTTGTGAGTGGTTTCTGGCTGTAAAAAATAAATGCTTGTGAAAGGCGAATCTATAATCTTCAAGAAATGTTCAAAGAATAGTTTCCAGATCAATTGGATTATCTTATAATCCATGTTTAATCCACCCATCAACAAGCTTTTTCAAAATACATTCGTCATTTTCACCATCGTCCCTCATTTTTTTTACAATTTTTCATGCAAAGTTACATTGTACTTGAACACATGTTTCATCACGTAAAATATATAAGGAACTCCATGAAGTTTGTTTTTGAGTTTTTTTGGAAAAAATGAACCTCTTAAAATGCATGTTTACAAAAATAATTTAGAAGCGATGTAAAAGATGGCAATGTTTTTCAATAATAACATGCATAGGTGCGTGAATTACTCATGTGTGTTGTGTTTTAATCCTGCATTCACTGACTGAGTTAGCCTATTGAAAAACCATAGAGATTAATAATACAAACAGTAATACCATGAATACTTCTACTTCAAGCTCAAATAGAGCTTTCAGGGTCCTGTGTTGAAATACTAGATCACCTTATGTGCATGAATTTTTGATTTGTAAGGATCAAGAGAAAGCATTAGTGCAAGCAATTAAATGAAAGCATCATCCGAACATCACTTGAAAAGTAATAATGTGGTGAAAAATTGCAGGATGTTGACAGAAAATATGGCTAGGGGAGAGTGTCGTCTCTCAACCCCCCCCCCTCCTCCCCCTCCCTGGGCACGGGACTAATACATGTGATATGGCAAAGTCCAATTCATAGATTAAGTTTCCCTGGCAGTCTTGTTGGCATTTTTATTAGAGTTCATGTTTTGTTTATGTGATGGGTGAGTGGAAGACCCTTGGGTGGCAATCAAATATAAAATGTTTTCTAAAATATATATTTGAAATACTTTGTGTATGTACAGTCACAAACTCTAGGCATCATTAACTAGTAGGGCAACACCCCAACTCAATTGAGTGAATGTGTAAACCATATATGGAACAAAAAACATTACACAAAACAAACTCAGCATGCAAACATGTAAAACTGGCATGGCAAAACAATAGATTGTGAAACTGAATAATAAAAGCACATACGACTTGAAAACAAGGGATTAATAAACACTGGTGTAAAGTAATGATGGGACCTGTTAAAATGACATGAATGGGGATTGGTCAATATGAATAGTAGAAATATAATTTGTGAAAATTTTACATTTAGTATTGATCATGAACATTAGAGAGGTTAAGTACACAGGCTCGTAGCCAGGTAGAGTGGGAGAGATAAAGGGAGCTGCTGCTCCCCCAAGAGATTCTTTCAAAATGATGCAGTTTCTCACCAATCTGAGCACTTTTCGCATGATTTTTTAGCCAAAACTGTCAAAAAGTTCCTCCCTAGGCAAAAGCTTTGCCCTTGGTAAAACTGCTCCTATCCCTTGGTAAAAGGTGGCTACAGCCTGTGTAAAACATTTGTGTGAGAACTTGAATGTGAACGAGTACTGTTATGACCCCCCGTAATGATGTCCATCTCTCAACTGGTTTAACTGGGGACCATTACACCAATTGGCATTATATCAATCAGGCAAAAAGAGGCCAGTGATGTGAAAAAAGCCAATAGCACAGTGTTATAGCATGATGGTCACGCCACCTCTGAAAACGAGGTTGGACAGCTACGTTCAC